ATCTCAGTTCACTGCAACCTCTGCCTCCTAGGTTCAAGTGATTCTCCTGCCTCAGTTGCTCAAGTAGCTGGGATTACAGGCACGCACCACCATGCCCAGCTAATTTTTGTATTTTTAGCAGAGAGGGGGTTTTGCCATGTTGGCCAGGCTGGTCTCGAACTCCTGACCTCAAGTGATCCGCCTGCATTGGCCTCCCAAAGTGCTGGGATTACAGACGTGAGCCACTGTACCTGGCCTCAACTTATTATTATTATTATTATTTGAGACAGGATCTCACTCTGTTGCCCAGACTGGAGTGCAGTGGCGCTACATCGGCTCACTGCAACCTCCGCCTCCTGGGTTCAGGCAGTTCTCATGTCTCAGCCTCCCAAGTAGCTGAGGTTACAGGCATGCGCCACCATGCACAGCTAATTTTTTTTTTTTTTTTTTTTTTTTTGCGGAGTCTCTGCTCCTGCTCACCCCAGGCGGATGCAGTGGCCGGATCTCAGCTCACTGGCAAGCTCCGCCTCCGGGTTCAACCATTCATCCGGCCTCAGGGCCTCCCAAGTAGCTGGGGACTACAGGCGCCCGCCACTCGCCCGGCTAGTTTTTTGGTATTTTAATAGAGACGGGGTTTTCACCATGTTGCCAGGATGGTCTCGATCTCCTGATCTCGTGATCCCCCCGTTCGGCCCGCCCAACGTGCTCGCGGATTACAGGCTTGAGCCACCGCGCCCGGCGCTAACAAGTATCTTTATAATATCATATCTTGTTTTCCAGTTTCTAAAAGGAATGTACGATAGAGCAAGTAATAAGACAACTGTGGCCGGGATGGTGGGCTCACGCTGTAATCCCAGCACTCTGGGAGGCCGAGGGACGGATCACCTGAGCTCAGGAGTTCGAGACCAGCCTGACCAACATGGTGAAACCCGCTCTCTATTAAAAATAAAAATTAGCCGGGTGTGATGGCCATGTGCCTGTAGTCCCAGCTACTCAGGAGGCTGAGAACGGAGGAATCGCTTGAACTCAGGAGGTACAATAGGGCAGTGAGCTGAGACGCGCCACTATCCTCGCAGCCTAGGAACAGA